CCAGTGCACATGCATGCCAGAAACCAGAAGATCATCTTCCTGGCATGTACATGTGCACTGGGCGGCTGCTCTTCTGGTTTCCGGCACTCCCGTGCGTGTGAAGACCAGCTGGCCGGTGCGCCGGAATCTGGAAAAGTAATGGGTGATGGCTCTGCGTGCCACTTCTGGCACATATGCATAGGTTTGTCCTCACGGTCCTATACCATTCCAGACTGGTATGTATACATGTGATAATAGAAAGAATAACAGAACAGTAGGATTTACAAAAGTAGGAAAAGTTATATAGTAGTAGAAGAACAGCAAAGACTGTCTGATACAAATAACCAAACATAGACTGATAAGCAAAAGAGTAAGAAATAATAGGACTATAAATGTAAAATTAGGATATATTGAGAGGGAAATGGTTTTTGTATAGATGCACCAATGGATATCTGTTGTAAGAAGGAACATGTAGTTCTGATGTTATTTGTAAGTGCTGCATATGTTTTTGTCAATGTGTATAACTGTTTATAATATTTTTTTTTTAAAAACCATATTTTACGAACTACAATGTTAGCTTCTGTTCTCATGATTATGTTTGTTTTGCTACTGGGATGGGACTGCTTAACAAAGGGAAGGAATTCTTTTTCTCCACAAAGAATGTTGACTTTTCAGATTACTTTTTAGGAGGTGCTTTGCTCTTAGCTCTCAATTTCCTGCCTGAATTAAAAAAAATGTTCCTATCCTCCTTGTTTCCTCCCTATCTTCTTATACTCTGTTATTGTCTCTTTCTTCAATTCAGTTCAATTCAATGTGTTGGTTAAAGCCCTAATGTTATGTAATGTTATGGGGCCAGGCTATCTGAGAGACAGCCTTTTCCAGAGGAAATCTACTCATTCCACCAGGCCACACAGGGTGGGTCCCTTTCCTTAAATCTTGTCTTGGTAAGAGCTAAGAAGCACACTTTCTTTTTAGCACCCCCTGCCTTATGAAACACCCTTTCCCCTGAAATGTCTGCTTAATACAGCCTACTCACATAATCTTACAAAGTAGGAGTTTTTGTTATATTTTGAATGTTATGTTTCGAGCCAGTCAGGATAGGATTGGTGGCAGCATAAGTCTTTTATGTCTGTGTGTGTGTGTGTGTGTGTGTGTGTCTGTGTGTGTGTATGTCTCTCTGTCTATCTGAACAGATAGTAGACATTTGGTCATCTGGCATGGTATGATGACTGTTGTAGAAGTTGCTGTTATGGAGGGATAGTCATTTACAGAACATCAGTTTCACTGAATGCAAATTAGTAATGATGAAGGACAAACAATCTGACTGCAGATCAGATCCAGAACTCAATACACAAAACATGAATTTGGACTTGGTTTTCTGAGACAAAAGAATTCATAAATGGTAAAGAACACAGAAGCCCACGGAGAAAAAACACTAGAGGAGATGTGGAGAAAATTTTGAGACGGAAGCATCTTATTTTCCTGATACTGAACATTTCATTTCTGTTTTCTCATCAGAACAGATATCTGACCTGGGATAGACTTGACCAGAGGTTAGAATATTTTGACTTCAAACATTTTATCCACTTCTAGAAAATCTAATCTAATCAGAGAGAAGCTTTCAAGTAAAAAAAAAAGTAAACAATCTTTACCTCCATTTTTTGTTCCATAATGGAAAAGACTCGTTCAATGCCAATGCTGACTCCAACACAAGGCACTTTCCGACCCTTGGGATCAAACATCCCTACTAGCCCATCATAACGGCCACCTCCAGCAACACTGCCAACACCAACAGACTCCTCTACAGGATCATTTGGTTCCTTGAGAAGGATAGCCTCATATATTACTCCAGTGTAGTAATCCAAACCACGAGCCAGACTTAGATCAAAGGAAAACTGTAAAACAATTTAAAACTCTCATTAACAGAACAGACTCAGCTCAATGTAATTAGAAGAAGAAATAATAGAATTTTACCTGATCTGAAATGCCAAAAATATCCAAATATTTGAATAGCTGTTTTACTTCCTCAAGCCCTTCCCGAGCTAGTTTATTTTGTGACAGCTTTGGATCTTGGAGCAATTGTTCAATTAAACTGAGTCCACCTGTAGGAATAAGACATGTAGGACTGATGCCTGTATGAAGGATTCAGCAGTAGTACTAAACTTTTATCCTTTCATTCATCTCTCTTTTGTTTCTTCTATTTCTCATGCAGTGCAATTTCATTTCTTCTAAAACTGGTATAGTCATGTGAAAAAAAGTACATTCTCTGTTGTTGCTCCCCATCAATCTGGGAAGGGTAATAAGGCTATTTCCAAACAATTCAAAGTCAATTATTCTAAAGCAGTGTTTTTCAACCTTTTTTGTGCAAAGGCACACTTTTTTCATGAAAAAAATCACGAGGCACACCACCATTAGAAAATGTTAAATTTTTTTAACTCTGTGCCTATAGGTTGTATTTCCCCCACATTAGGTGCAGTATAGTTCCCCCACAGACATACAGCCTTCAGCCATACAGTGTATTACTGAAGGCTGTATGTCTGTGGGGGAACTATACTGCACCTAATGTGGGGGAATTACAACCTAATGT